GCCCGCTGTACCCCTCACGTCTCCACAGTCCGAGCGTCAGGCCCCCCAACAGCCCCTCCCGACGGGGAAGCCGAGGCCCAGAGCCTGGGTGCCTGTCGCGACGGGCAGCGGCGGCGGCGCAACCAGAACCCGCCCGGGCTCCTGTCAGGCGGCGCCCACGACGCCCTCACCCGACACCTCCGAGGCCCCGACGCCTCCACCGGCCCGGGTTGGGGGCTCCCCGCGGAGACGCCGGGGGCGCGTGCGGGGCGAGTGGGCCACCCCTCAGGAGTCTCGCGGCTCACTGTGCACAAGCCATGCTGCTTTTCTGCCGCGGGGAGGAGGCTTGGCGTGAGGAGACTGCAGAGGGCGGAAAGGCCAGGGGTGCGCGGAAGGAGGGGGCAGCCAGACGCTGGGCAAGGGGAGAAAGGATGGCCAGAAGAGGACGGGGCTGCCGGCCCTCTTACCTCACGCCTGGGGAAACGGCCGCCCGCTCTGGTGGGTGTCAGGTGGGGGCCACTCCGGTCTGGGATCGGCCCTGGGCCTCGGCCGAGCTGCTTGCTCCCGAGTGTGTTCCGCTGGCAGCCAAATGTTGCGCTCTGCGCCCCCACATAATGGAGAGGTTGAGTGACAGGTTAAGGCTTGGACTCTCCCAGGGACTTAGAACCGGGAACCATCAACTTAAGTAAAGGAGGTGACTGGCAAGGGAGGCAGATTCCTGGAAAGGTGCAATTTTGTTGGTTAACCATCAACCTTTATTATTTTGTCTCCCCCAATCCAAACAGCCAGAGTGTCTTCTGGCGGAAGATGGGAGCAGGTGGAAGGTGTGTGTATTTGACCGTAGCCATAAACGCACTCAGTAAAAGTGTATCAGAATGGGATTTTCTGACATCTAGCCGTTAACATTAAGATGTGACACTTTCTAACAGCCAAGGACGGTTGACATAGGCGTTATACTGAAGCGCAGACAAGATACAGTCGGTGCTAAAACTCACGATGCTGAAGGTGATTCCATTTTTCTCTTTTCCTTCTCATGACCTACTTGGTTTACTCGAGGAGTCAAAATGACACTTTGAATAAGCCTTTATTTCTACTGCAGAATCCAGCCTCAGTGATGGCTTTTCCCTCTGATGACTTTTAGAAATAATGGGCCTTCAAGTTGAAAGGTCTTGGGACAGCCGAAAGTGCACCATGGAAAAGTTTGTTTCTTAAGGTTTGAGAGCACATGGACAGTGATCACATTTATTCGTCTCTCTTTCAAATAACTAAGATAGGGACGTTACAACGTGGCTTCCCGAGTTTGTGAAAACTCACTAAAGATCCAGAAAACTTGTTAGAGCTTGGGAAAAGTCAGAACCCAAAAGAAATGTGCCCATTACTTTCTATAATTTAAATGTATTGAGCTTTCTGCCCCCCCCCAAAAAAAGATATTTTAAAAAGCAGTTGTTTAGCTCACAAATACCTACATTAGGCAAAGCCATTTGAACTGTGCGCTTTATTCCTGTTCCTGCTGTGTAAAGTCACTTAAAACAGCTACATCTTTTCCTGTAGACAGTTTGGTTAGACTCCTTTCCTGTGAGTTTAAAGACATCTTTAGGTGGTTTTTAAACAGCTTTGGGATTGGAGAAGAAATTTCCTCCTAGTCCTGTGGGTTCTTGAGCTACTCGAATAGTCAAGTTAAGATCAAATATATTAGTAGGAGAAAAAGCCACAGGGACATGGAAATTCCAAAGATAATGATGTAACATCGGACTCAGTATCTTGTCCTGAGGAATGGGGTAGGGGCCTTGGGCTGTGTGGAGACAGGAATGGGCTCACCTGATGAGGACAAAGTGATTCCGTGACCAAGGCTAGATGTTCTATAACTGAATGGGGATTTTTTTTTTTTTTTGGTGCAAATATTTCTAATATAACACTAACTTTGGTAATATCCCCAATTTTTATTATTCTAGATAGTAAAGAGACTGGTAAGAGTATGTCAGAGTATGAAGTAAGTCAACTGCTTTCTGGAAGGTTTTGGTATTCCTAGGATACTAGCTTTGAGAGAGATTGAAAGGAACCTTTCAGAGAAACGATACTGGAAGAGCCAGGCTAGAATTGTTAAAAAGTAAAGTAGAAGACAACTATAGCCATATATTGTTGATACAAAAAAAAAGGACTTACTGTTTCAGTGATCAGTGATAAATCATTTCATTTGAAAATACATAAAATCCACATTCCAGTATGCTTCTAGTTAGCTTTGAAATAATGCAAAAACTTTAACTTGTGTTAGTATTTAAAAATACAGTGCAATTTTGTCTTACCTCTCATAATCAATTGTGGGTGTCCCCTCCTGTAACTGACCCCCATTATCACCATCCTTTACCACCATGCTGTGAGTTGAAATGCAATTTCTGTTTCAGTGACCTGGTGGTTTAGAACTTCTGGATTGTCAGAAAAGTCATGATGCATTTTTTTGCATAGAAAACCTAGGTCATGATTTTTCTGGCAACCCAATATAAAAGTGTGTTTCCATGGGAAAACTTGAAAATAGCTTTTAGATGTTTTAGTAGCCCATCATTAAGCTGATGTACCTGAAAGCCTACTTTATTTCACTTAAAATAACAAAAATAGAGGAAGCTAATTGTGATTATGGAACCACATTATAAAAAGATGAGTGTCACTTGTTTGCCTCGCTTGCTGGTAACTGGTCTGTAGCATACCTACCTTTGCTCCACACACTTAGATGCACATTGGGATAACTCTCCGAAGTCCAGTTCAGATGCTCAGATTTGGGGTAATGCAGATTTGGGGTAACCTGTGTTATAGGTGATGCTCTCTGCCAACCTGTGGAAATATTCAGATATCTTAAGAGATCTCACTCAGCTCCTTCCTACGCAGGATACAGGTGGGAGTGCAAAGTGTTGGGGTGGGAAGGAAAAAAACACTCTGCCTCCCTATGAAACAAACAGTTTAGAGCTATGTGAGACCTGGTGCATGTGCCACTGAGGAAAAAAATCAAAGTGCACGACCAAGTACAGAACCAGCTACCTTTTGTGGAGATGTGTCTGATAGACACAAACTACCTGCAAAGGAGATTCAGTCACTGGAAGGATGATACTGGTTAATCTTAGGACGAGAACTTGAGTCAGAGAGGACAGAATGTGGCAGTGGGGAGAGCTTTCTGATACTTGACCGAGCTATTTGGATATTGTCTCATTTTGCATTATGTTTGTATAGACACTATAGTTACGCGCGCACACACACACACACACACACACACACAGCTTTGTTGAGAAGAGTAAAGTGAGAGAAGTCTGCTGAGAAAGAGGTCACCCTGAATGCGTTAATGCCACAGGGGCTTCATCTGGTGGACAGAATGCTGGCTATCAAGTGTTTTGTGGAACCCTGTTCTGAGCACTCTGTCAGTTCCTGTTGTCCTGCAATACACGATTATTAGTGCCTCTGAACCACATTGGTAGTTCTCACAATATTTGGAACGTTACATTTTTGTTATAGGTTACATCTGTTAGTGTGATCTGGGATGTTGCTCTTCTCATGGCTTGAGGGCATCACAAACCACACTGCGTAAGATGACACTTAATACATCCAGTGTGTTCTCATTATTCCACTGACCAGCTGGCCATCCCTGTGCCCATCCACAGGCCTCCCTGTTCCCTGAGACACAACGATATTGAGTTGGTCCAATTGAAATCATAGGCTTGTATCTAAGTGGCCTAGTGAAAGGAAGAGTCACATTGTCTGTCCAAACCCACACCTAGAAACAATGAGATGTCGTGAGGAAAGTGTGTACAACGCGAAGACAGAGTGAAACTGGGTCTTTTACATCAAACAGCCAAGCCTTGCATGCCAAGGAAAAATCCTGTGATGGACACAGTAATGTAAGAAAGTAAAGCAGCCTCATTATTGTGTGGAGAAAGCTTTAGTGATCTGGATAGATCCTATAAGCCCAACATTTCTGACACCAAAGCCTACCATCCTTCAACTCTGTAGAGGCTGAACGAGGTAAGCAAGCTGCAGGAGAGAAGTTTGCAGCTAGCACTGCTTGGTTTGGGAGATTTAAGGAAAGGAGCCATCTGCATGACATAAAAGTTCAAAGTAAAGTAGGACATGCGGATGTAATCAGCTGCAGCACATTAGTCAGAAGATCTGGCTAAGTCATTGATGAACAAGGCTACACTAAACAGCAGATATTCAATGCAGACAAGCAGTCCTCTAGGAAACATCATGTAGGACTTTTCACATTTAAAAAGAAGTCAATGCCTGGCTTCAGAGTTTCAAAGGACCAACTGACATGTTGGGGATCAGTGTATCCAGTGATTTTATGAAGCCACTGTTCATTTGCTATTCTGAAGTTCCTAGGATCCTTATGATTTATGCTCAATTGAAGAGTTAGCACAGAAGAGTTAAATCTTCCTGTGCTTTATAAGTAGAAGGAAGCCTGAATTCAACATACAGAGCATATGTCTTTTTACAACATGTTTTCCTGGCTATTTTAAGCCCACTGGTAAGACCTCTTGCTCAGAAAAAAAAAGATTCCTTTCTGAATAGAAAGGAATTGACAAAGCACCTGCTAAAGATATACAAAGAGATGATGTTGTCTTAATACCTGCTAACACAACATCATTCTGCAGCCCATGGATCAAGAAGTCATATCCTATTCAAGTCTTATTATTTAAGAAATACATTTTGCATTTGCTCCCATCGATAGTGAATTCTCTGATGGATTTGGGCAAAATCCATTGGAGACTGGGAAAGGATTCACCATTCTAGAGTCCATTAAGAACATTCATGATTCATGCAAGAGGTACAGTTCAATTAGGTTAAAAACTAAGCCCCCACTCCTGGCCCCACAGGCAAGTTTGGAAGGCTGATAATGGAATTTATAAAATCACCTTGACGGCAGTTTCGTAAAACTGACCACCATGGGCCCTCCCTGGTGGCGCAGTGGGTTAAAGCACTGCACTGAGAAGCTAAAGCCACTTCCGCATGAGTTCGATTCCCGCCTGCCCCGGAGGAGACCACATGGCGCGGCAGACCTCTCCTGACCTGCCCGCTGCTCCCCTCAGCAGTGTACTTCGTTGATCTGCCTGTTCTGCTCCCCACTCTGTCTCTGGTGAAGCCTCTCACCGCCCCTGAGCCTCTGGCCTGTACCCCAGTTCTGTATGTACAAATAAATAAATCTTTAAAAAAAAAAAAAACTGACCACCATGTCCAGATAAACCATTTCAGCTCTACGATCACAGAACCAGAGCCAGGATATGTTTTTGTGCCAAGGGATAGTACTCAA